GACCAATAGGCAAGTGACCAGAGTAGGAACTATGGGACAGGGGTGGGTTTGGATTATGGAGCCTGAACCCAGGGTCAGAATAGGAATGCAGTGATGCTGTAACTGATCCCAGATGGAGGAACTAGTATGTTGGACTGAACCCCTTGAGGTACAGGGCTATATCGCTGCAGGAATGTGTGCTGGTAAATGTCTTAACAATCAGCTCTTGAGGGGGTAGGGGTGGGATGAGGGGAAGACATGACACGCTTTTAAATTTAATCTGCCTTATTAACATTTTCTCTATCACTTTCTTAAGTCTAGAAATCAACAAAATGATAGCTTGAGCCCTGATTTGTAGCATTTGCTAATTTCCAAAGTTCAAATGCTCACAATGAAAATTTAACAATCTAGTTGGCTCCCACATACTCCTACAGATAGCACTGTGATAACTAACCCTGGAGATAGGAACTTGTCCTCAGACCCCAAACAAAGACTAGGGCCATAGAGGTAATGTTTAATCTATGCCTTAGTTACCCAGTGCAGGGGCTGTCACTTTGACTGCGGAGAGGGAATCTCCGAGCCAGACCCTTGGAACATTAGTGGGCCACAAGACTAACATTCTAATCCTGGGAGAAGAAAGGTGCTTATCTCACTCTAACCCAGGAGAGGAGGTCTTGGAGCCAGATCCCAGGAGCAGAACAAAGACTATAGCTCTGTCACTCTAAACCAGGGATGGGGAACCTTCAGCCTTGAAGTCACATGTGGCCCTCAAAGTCCTCAACTGCATCCCTTTGACTGAATCTAAACTTTACTGAACAAATTTCCCTAATAAAAGGATTTATTATGTAAAATTTGGACTCAGCGAGTGTCTTGTGTCTCAGTGAGACACAAGGCCTCCCCCAAGGACCTAGAAAGCCACAAATGGCCTCGAGGCCACAGGTTCCACACCTCCGCAAACCAAGAGGGGAAAGGTCTCAGAGTCAGATGCTGGGAGCAGAATGGATTTGGAGTTCTGTAGCTCAGCCCCACAACCCAACACCAGATAAGATAGGCCAGGACCATAAAAGAACACTGTGGTTTGACCAGAAGTACTCAAGAGTTTGGCATTAACTCAAAGTCCCAATGAGGGAAGCAAAGTTGGAAGAAGGAGTAAACAAAACAAACAAAAAAGATCACAATTATGATGCCAGGGATGCTCAAGACACAAATCCAGGAGAAAACTCCCACCTAGAAGCAAAATTTCAAAGAAAGGTTTGTACACAAGAACAATTGGAATTCATAGAAGAAATGAAGCAAGAGTTTCGTTTAAAGTAAAAATATAAGGGAAATGAGAGTGCTACAGGAAAGAATTAGAAATGCAAAGAGAACTAAGGAGGAAAGATTTGGAAAGCAAATTAATAGCTTTGCACAAGAACAAAACTTGGGGCAGCGAGGTAGCACAGTGGATAGAGCTCTGACCTTGGAGTCACAAGGACCTGAGCTCAAATCTAGCCTCAGATACTTGACACTTACTAGCTGTGTGACTCTGGGCAAGTCACTTAACCCTGATTGCCTTACCAAGAAGCCAAAAAAAAAGTTAACAAAATAACAGACTCCCTAAGAATTAGAATGGGCCAAATGGCAGTTAATGACTCAGTGAAGCAACGAGAAATATTAAAACAAAGTCAAAGGAGTGAACTTTGTTTTAAAAATAAAAGGAAACAGAAGGTATCCATATCAAAATTGGAAAACTGATCAAGGATGGCACAGTGCTGAAGTGTGGCATCAGGAAGTTGTTGTTGGGTCATTTTAGTTGTCCAACTTTTCATGGCCCAATCTGGGGTTTTTTTGGCAGAGATAGTGGAGAGACAGTGGAGTGGTTCCTTCTCTAGCTCACTTTACAGATGAGGAAACTGAAGCAAACAGAGTTAAGTGACTTGCTCAGGGTTACCTAGCTACTAAGGGTCTGAGGCTGGATTTGAACTTACAAAGATGAGTCTTCCTGACTCTAGGCCCAGTACTTTCCCTACTGTGTCACCTAGACGCCCAAGAGTCAGGAAGACCCGAGTTCAAATTCCACCTTAGATAATTATCAGTTGTGTGACCCTGAGCAAGGCACTTCATAGCTTCAGTTTCGTCATGTCAAAAATGGGGATAATAATAGGACCTACTTCAAAAGGTTGTTGTGGGGATCAATGAATAACATAGGCAAAGTGCTCTGCAAACATTAAAGCACTATATAAGTGCTAATTATTTATTTAAGAATCATTGGACTACCTGAAACTGTAACAAAAAAAGCCTGAATATCAGATTTCAAGTAATCATAAAAAACTCCAAATCTCTTAGAACCAGAGGGAAAAGTAGAAATAGAGAGAATCTGCTGGGTGCCTCTTGAAAGAAACTCCAAAATGAAAATACCCAGGAACATCATATGCAAAATTTCTCAGAGCTTCAACATCAAAGAGAAATACTGCAAACAGCCAGAAAGAAAAAGGACCTGCAGTCAGGATCACACTTGATTTAGCAAAATCAACTATAGAGGATTAAAAAAAAATAAAAAACAAAAGATATAGGCTTACAACCAAGAATAACTCACCCAGCAAAATGGGAGTAGAATCCTATGCAGAAGAAATGGATCTCTAACAAAATAGAGACCTTCTAAGAATTCTCTTAGAATTCTAATGAAAGAAGACTTCTTAGAATTCTTGATAAGACCAGAGTTGAGTAAAAAAAAACTTTGAAATATAAACACAGGAGTCAAGAGGAACATAAAAAGGTAAATACAAGAGAATAATTGGAAGAGACTTTATAAGGATGAATCATTTACATTTTGAGAGTGGAGGAATGATACCAAGTATCCCTTCAGAACCCTAATGTCATCAGGGAGCATAGAAAGAATCAAATAAAAGAGGGCCTGGCAGTTGTTTTGTCCCAAGATAATAAAGGAAAAGGAGGGAGAGAGGGAAAGATATAATAAAGAAAGGGGGAAGAAGAATAGAGGAACTTATGATTTCACATAATCAGAGTATGCAAGCAGAATATATTAATGAAGAAGGGGTGAAGGGAGCAGGTGTCGTTTGAACTCCATTTTAATCTGAACTGGTCCAAGACTACACTGATACAGACACACACACACACACACACACACACACACACACACACACACACACACAGAAACAGGGAGAGAGGAAAGGGGGAATAAGAAGGATGGATTTAGGAAGGATAAATCCTAAGAAGAGATTAAAAGGAAATAAAGGAGGTGAGGAACAAAGAGAAGAAAGAGAAAAAGATGAGAGAAGTAACACAATTAATGATAATAATTGTGAATGTGAATATGAAAAACTCACCCAGAAAATAGAAGAGGATAGCAGAATGTATTAGAAAGCAGAATTCAACAATGTGTTTGTTTGTTCACAAGAAACACTTGAAACAAAAAACTAACACAGAATGAGGGCTAAAAATCAGGGGTTGTAGCAAAATCTATTATGCCTCAGCTGAACTCAAAAAAGCCTGGGGACCTGGACCCCTAAAAGGAAAAGACCATGTCTTTGAAAGCAACCCAGTCCCTGAATTTTCCCATACATTTAACCAGCCTAGATCATTGGTGCCTCTGCCCAAGGCACCTGACCCACCCCAGCCCACCTAATTAGTTTACTTGACATTCTTTCACTATTGCACCTAGCCTACCCCAAACTACTTACTACTCCTTAATCCCACCCAGATCCTTTCATGGTCCCTTTGGTATATGAGCATCAGCACCATCCTCATCAATTTGCAGGTTCACTAGGAACTTCACCTGCTTCTGTTTTCACCACAATAAACTTTGCCACTTGACTAGAAGACAGTTTGAGTGTGTGAATTAATTCCTTGTAACTCCGCCTTGCACCCTGCCATTTCAGGGTTTCCAGCAACCCCAAACCTCATCAGTAGTGAACATGATCTCAGACCAGGCAACAGAAAAAAAAATAGACAATTAAAAGAGACAAACAGGAAAACTACATTTTACTGAAAGGTACCACAGAAAATTAATTTATTTCAGTACTTCACTAAATGGCCTGGTATCTAAATACTTAAATAGCTAAATGAATTACGGGGAGAAACAGATAGTAAAACTCTAACAGTGGGGAACCTCTATGTATCCCCTTTCAGAGCTAGACAAATGTTACAAAAAATAAACAAGGACCTGAATATACTTTTAGAAAAGTTAAATATTATAGGTTTCTGGTAATTACTGAATGGGAATAGAAAGGGGTATATCGTCTCAGCTGTTCATGGCACCTTTACAAGAACTGACTGTATTTGGGCATAAAAATCCTCACAGACAAACACAGAAAAGCGGAAATATTAAAACACATCCTTTACTGACCACAGTGCAATAAGAATTCTATTTAATAGAGGGGCATCGAAGAAAGGATAAAAAATTACTTGGAGACTAAATAACTGAGATCAAAGAAGGATGAGGATTGAGAAGGGGCCACTGGATTTGGCAATTAAGAGATCATTGGTGACTTTGGACAAGGCAGTTTTGGTGCAACCATGAGGTCGGAAGCCAGATTGAAGAGAATTCAGAAGGAAGGGAATGGAAGATCACACAGCTTGTTAAGGGTCTGAGGTAGAATTTCAACTCCAGTCTTCCTGATGCTGTGCCACCCTCCTCAGCAGCTTCCCATGTGTCTGGGCTTTTTGCTAGGGAATTGTTAAAGGCCAATCCACCTCAGCCATTTAGTAGTCTGTGACCAGCTTCTTCATCAGTAAAAAGTGGGCTTTCTTTGTGATGCCTTCTAATGTCACTTTCAGCTGAATCTATAGCCTGAGTGACCTGACTGATGACACAGAGCCCAGGGCCATCATCAACTTAATCAGGGCCCTTTGCTTCAAGTCCTGAGTCGACTGCAGTTACCAGAATGAAAACTGGCACGGCGCTGCATGCCTTTATTTGACTACAACTCCCAGCATGCCGAAGGGCAGCTTCTGGGAGGAAAGCGAGCGCGACGGCTGGACTGGAGGAGCTCTGCGCATGTGCATCTCTCCTGTCCCGCCTTTCCCCCGTCCCCTGTTCTCGCCCCTCCCTTTTCCTCCCCTCCCCTCGGCCAGGCCGGCTGACCTCGGTCCATGGAGCCAGACTCTTTCTTTCCGGTGCTGGGCGGCGAGTTCGAGGACTCGGTGTTTGAAGAGTGGCCGCGGCCGCGGGAGCCCGAGCCTCTGCCGGCCTACAGCGCCAAGCGCTGCGAGCCCCAGGTGAGAGACGCGGCTCCCGCGAGCCTCTGCCCCGTCCCAGGACATCGCCCACGGGCCAGTGCGGCCAGCAACCAGCACTTAGGGAGCGCCTGCTGTATGCCTGGCGCGGGGATGGGTGGGGACGGGGTTCTGGAGAAGACGGAGATGCAGGATGTGTAAGCAGAGTGAAAGTCAAGTGATTTAAGAGTGTTCAAGAAGACCCCCTCGGAGGATGCCAGGGGTTCCACGAGGTGGAGGTGGAGTTGGAGAGGGAGCGCAAACGTGTGGGGACAGCCTGTACAAAGGCGTGGAGGCGGGAGATGAAATGCTCCACATGAAGAAGAGCAGCTAGGCTAGGAAAAGTATGTGAGAGAGTGTAATTATCATGGAAAGATGATGAGGAGCTGGATCCCAAAAGACTTTTAAATGCTAAACAGAGGAACGTATATTTTATCCTAAAGGCAGTAGAGCGCTAAGCATGATTGAAGTGCTCCGTGTATGGCAAGCACTGGCCTAAGCTGTGGGAGTTCTGCTATAGTGGGGTTTGTGCATTCGCCCAATCACCACCCTATGCAAAATTGTGCAATAAAAGCCACAAAGCTTTTGGGGTTGGGGTACAAAATCTACGACATGTAAAAGATAGAAACCTAATTTGAAAAACTGGTAGCACGGTTTTATATATGTGCTGGTTGGGAAGGTTGAAACTCTGGGCCTGAGGAGGGGGAGTGTTAGGACGAGGCCCTTATTTGCGCATACCTCCTACTGCTTCAGAAGATACATAGTAACAAAGACTTAAAGGTTTGCACCTGGAAGTGGGGGCAGGAAGGCTTGTAGCTTGTGAGTTACTGTGAAGCTGTTCGGTTTTCCGCATTCTCCGTGTTTCTTGTAGGAGAAATGGAGCAGAAGTAGACTTGAAACTTGGTTTATGTTCAGAATGTTCCCTGATATTTCAGCCAAGATGGAACAAAGTCATGTTTTCAAAATGTCATGCATGATAACAGAAATGACTGTACCAGCAAAGAATAAAGATTGTCTGCTCCCTGCTCCCAATGATCTGACGTTTTAATGGGGAAGGAAAACATAACAGAGATCTGAAAAGGGGTGGGGGGATAGGGAGAGCCACTGAAGCTTCTCGAATGAGAAGTGATTTGGTCAAAAATGAGCTTTAGAGATATCAGTTTTGCAGGGCAGCTGGGTGGCGCAGTAGATAGAGCACCGGCTCTGGATTCAGGAGGAACTGAGTTCAAATTCGGCCTCAGACACATAACACTTACTAGCTTTGTCACCCTGGGCAAGTCACTTAACCCCATTGTCTAACCAAAAAAAAAAAAAGAAAGAAAAAGAAATATCAGTTTTGTTGCTGTGTGGAGGATGGGTTGGAGAAGGAAGAAGTTGGCTACAGAAACCAGTTGGGCATTATTGCAGCAAGCTGGATGAGAACTGAGGAGTGCTTAGACCAGGCTGGTTGGTGTGTGTATAGAGACAAAGAAATGGATGTGAGAGAGATATGTTGAACAGGTAGTATAAAATTGACATGGGTCGCATGTGGCCTTGAGGCCACAGGTTCCCCACCCCTGAACCTAGTACCTGAGTGATTATAGGGAAAAAGTCAAGGATGATGCCCATGTTGCAAGCTTGGGCAGCTAGAAGAATGGTTGTGCCCCGGTGGGAAGTAGTCAGTCAATAAGCAGTTATTAAGTGTCTCTACTAAGTGCCAGGTGCTGTACTAAGTGTACAAAAAGAAGCAAAAGATGGTCCATGCCCTCAAAGAGCTCACAGTCTAACGGGGGAAACAACAAGCAGACAACTATGTGGGAAGACACTAAAATTAAGAGGAAAAGACTCGTTGTAGAGGATGGGATTTTAGTTGGGACTTGGAGGAAGCCAAAGAAGCCTGGAGACAGAGATAAGGAGGCAGAGTTTTCCAGGAATGGGGGACAGCCAGACAAAATGCCCAGAGCTGTTCCAATAATCCAGGTATAAGGTTTTGAGGGCCTGCACCAGGGTGGTGGCAGTGTCAGAGGAGAGAAGGGGGCATAGTTAAGAGATGTCGACGAGCCTCGGCAACAGATTGGATATGTGGGTGAGAGACAGGAAGGAGGCCAGGATGACTCCTAGGTTGTGATCCTAGGAGTGTGGTGGTACCCTTTGTAGGAATAGAGAAGGGAGGAGGGGGGAAGGGTTTATGGGGCAAGATAAGTAGAGCATTAGGAAGAGGACTGGATTTACAGCGTAAGGTGATAGGGCCCGTTTAAGATATTCTAGTGAGTTTGAGGGAGCTGTGGGATATTCTGGTGATGTCCAACAGAGGCAGTTGATTACTGGGGACTGCAAAGCAGGAGAGAGAAGGGGGCTTGCTATGTAGATTTGGGATTAATCTACAAAAAGATGATCTTTGAACCCATAGGAGCTGATGAGTTCACCAAAGAAGCACGTAGAGAAAAGGATGAAGAGGACTCCAGCCTTGGACTGTACCACCTGTGACGTGAAGGAGACTGAGAATGATCAGTCAGACAAGTAGGAGAAGCAGGCAGGGCAGTGTCTCAGAAAGCCAGGGAGGCTAGACTTTAGACTGTTCAGGAGGCAGGATCTGTTGGCAGTGTCAGAGGTTGCACTGACGTTCAGGAGGAGAACACAGGTTGAGCAATAAAAAGATGAGTGATGACTTTGGAAACAGCAGTGTGAGGCCAAGGGCTGGGGTTCAGACATGAGTGGGAGGTGAGGAAGTGGATCAAGGCAGACAGAGGTTAAGTGACTTGCCCAGGGTCACACAGCTGGTAAACATCTGAGGCTACATTTGAACTCAGATCTTTCTGACTCCAGGCTCAGCACTCTGTGCATCATGGTGCCGCCTAGCAGCCTCAACGTAGACAGCTGTTTATTATTATGTATCAGAGATAGCCATGTAGTAGTGGGTAGAAAGTCTTGGAGTTGTGAAGACCTGGGTTCAGGTGTGCCACACATTGGTCACGTGACTTTGGTCAACCTGCTTGGTTTCTCAGCCCTCCCCAGGGCAGCTCTCAAAGACTTTGTTTCAGTGCTTATCTGCACTGATAGAAAGCTTTCTCACTGGAAGTTCCCCATGCCAGTGTCCAATCCAATCGACAACATCCAAATCAAAGCCTTCTTGTGTTGCTCTCTTCTGCCTCCTTCCCCCACATGCCTGCCAACACTGCTCTTTCCCTCTTCATCCACTCGAAAGCCACAGGCTGTGCCTTTACTGAAAATACGATAAGCTCAAAGATTTGGTACCTGGTGAGCGTATGGTTTTGTACCCAGTTCCTTTAGCTTAATGGCTACCAATGTATTTGTACGTTTGGTTGTCTTTGACTTCAAATAAAAACATTGCCGTAATGTTTTTGTGTGAATCTTATTCTGAAGAACTCTATTCTTTTTAGTTTTATAAGTGGTTGGTTTTACTCTGTAAGGTAAAATTTTTGTTTTCTAGTGGTTTTATGAGGAAACAGAAAACAAGGATGAAGTTGAAATACTCACCATCAAGAAATTTAGGGGGGACTTGGCATACCGACAACAAGAATTTCAGGTATGTATCTCCTTGCTGGGGAAAAATCGTATGACTGTATGGAGAACAACATATTCAGGAAATTTAACAGGCTTATATGTTTAAAATGTGTGCGATTGGGATGTGCAGAAGCACATTTCACCTTTTATAAAGTGTTTTTGCCTATCGGTGTCTGTTCTTAGAATCCCAAAATTCTTTCCTTTTTGGGCATTTCTAGTGGTCTTAGTCTTCTGCAACCAATTGCACATATAATTGGTTCTTCTCATTATTGCATGACTCTCCCCCAGTGTCTGTCTCTATCTCACAAATGCAGGCTTATCGTCAGCACAGATGGATGTGTCCTAGTGGTAAGGTACAGTCAAAAGATATAGGAGCCACCTCTTCCCTATGCTAACAAGGTGTTTTTTCCAACCCTTCCAATAACCATTAGAGCTGACATCCTGTGTGTTTTAAACCTTAGACTCTAGTATCTTTTAAATTGGGGTGGGAGAAAGGCGGGGAGGGAGTGTCACATAAAAATGATATTTTCCACTTTGCTCCCTGCACCCTCCTCACCCCAGCCAAAAACCCCCGACATACAAACCAACCAACCTTTTACTAGGTTCTTTTCTGCAATGCCTTTTTTAAAAAAATTACTTCCACAGAAAGCCCTTCAGGAGTACTCCAGCTGCTTTGAACTATTGCCTCCTACCAACTTTGCCATGAGAAGAGATGTCCAAGAAGGGCAGGCTAGATGTTTAACTCACCTAGGAAGGCATATGGAAGCATTGGAGATTGCTGAGAAATTGGTGAGTACTGTGTGCAGTTGTTTTCATGTCTTTCCCAGGTCCTCCAGAATTGATGAGTTGGTTTCCTGAAAATGCCTCTTACTAGTGAAATGTGTGGGTTTGGGACTGTAGAACTTTATGTTGAAGTTTGAGCCCAGAATACCTTTGTTTTCATGTAACACTTTTTTTTTCTTAATAATGTGGAAAATCTTCAGTTCTCTGAAAACCTTCCCTTTGCAGAGCTACTTCCCTCATTAGAAGCAAACACTTCCCACTAAGCACAGCTCTCTAGCCCCTTTCCTTACGTTCCTAAGTAAAATTGTGAATGGGACAAGAAAGGCAACTCTTGACTTACGCCTAATGTTAAATAAAACTTTGTTGAATTCACACTTCTGTGTATAATTTGGGTTTTGGTTTTAAGACATTTATTTTATGTCTGATTTAATACTGCTTTTGGTGCATGATTGGGAGTCTAGAGATTAAATAAATCTAACGCGATAGAATAATACTTAATATTTTATAGATGTCCTTTTTTTTCTCCTTCACCAGCAGTTTATGAGAAAACATTGCAATGATTTTTGGACTAGGTATTATGGCTGTGACAACTTTAACAGTCCTCAGGTTAGCATGATGTTTGAAGATTTAACCATCCTATTTCTTCATTAATAAGAAATTTTAAACTATTCCCTGGTAATGGTTTTGCGTTTTGTTTATTGAGGAAGTTTTGGTAGTACCTTAGATGAAATGATTTACTTCAAAATGTGGAAAACATCTGTGTCTTGAACTTTTAAAATCTGTGTTAATTATGGGCTAAATCTTAAGTTGGAACCTAGACTGCTTTGTCCACTGAGTGATGGCCCCGTAAGCTTCGTCAGCTGCAGATAAGCAGACTGCTTTGTTTTTTCCTTTTCCTGCTTTCTAGCTACCCATTATCCTTATAATTCTTCATGGCTCTTACCAACTTTCCCCTACTATCTTCTACTCCGTACTTGCCCAGTCCAGTTTCTTCTCTTGCTTAGACTTCCCATGGCTGGCACTTGCAGCAGTCCTGGAATTTGAGAAGAGAAACAGGAGAGGGGACTATTCAGTGTCTTAAAGCAGGAAAGACTCTTATGGTTGGCTGGTATGACCTGTCATTTTGCAGATGAGGAGAGAGAATTCAAACTCAGGTCTCCTACTTCCAAATCTGAGGCTCTTCCCACTGGATCACACGGCATTGAGGCCAGCGTCAGGTTGGTCCATGGCGGGTGGCAGCCACGGTGTAGGTAGAAGACGACCCAGAATCTCTCTGATGCCCATGTCAGGAATGTCAGAGCCTTGAGGGTCCCTTCTCACCAGGCTCTGTGCTAGCTGACAGCAGGTGGATTGGAAGGAGTACAAGATAGGACAACAGATGCTGCCCACTTGTCTGTCTTTGGTCCCCTTTATCTTCAAATCTTACTTCTACTTCTTCCCAACCATATCCTTTTCTGCTGCTCTCTCTTTTTGCTTTTATCCCAGCATTCTCTTTTGCTGGGGCACTTGCTGACCTTTCCTGTTTGCTGTTTCTTGTTCATCTATTATTTTTTGCAGTGGTTGCAAGCCACTCCTTAATTCCTGGCCTTATTAACATTTTGTAGGGGCAGTTCAGTACCTTAATTGTATTAATAAAGGTTATTAGGTTTTAAAATTTTGACACTCTACCTCCTGTTTACTTTCCTTTTCCAAAATATCACTTGTTGCTTTCTAGGTAAGAGTTACAATAAACTTAAGTTTTGCTATTCAGCATATAATTAGATGTTTTTATACTGTAGACTTTGAAGAATTTTAATTAGTGGGGTGGGATAAGTAAGCTACTGTCAGGGAATGTTATACTTTCATATATATATACAAATATTTTTCCAAGAATGTGTATAGTCATTTATAGGATTACTAAGGGAGCCCTGAAGTATCCATATCATCTAGTGGAATATATAACCTTTCAGAGAGTAGTTTACCTGAAACCTATCAGAACTAGTCATAATTTATGCACACGAAAGCATAGTGTGCATGGAGGTGTGTTGAAAGGTAGTGTGCATGGAGGTGTGTTGAAAGGTAGAAAACACCATACATATGCTAGTTCTGTCTCCTTTGCTGGGTCTTCACTAACCATGGATGTAGCCCAGGGCTCTGTCCTGGGCCTTCTTCTCTTCTCCTTCTATACTGTCTCTGTTGGTGATCTCATCATTCCTTATGGGTTCAGTTAACATAGTTATGAAAATGAATCCCAGATCTTCAGCCGGATGTCTTGAAGGCCCAGTATGTCCAAAGTAGAACTCATTTCCCCCTCAAACCTTCCTCTCTTCCTAACTCCCCTGTAAGTGTTGTAGGCACCAGCTTTCCCCCCCCAGTCATCTAGGCTCACCACCTTACTGTCATTCTTGGTTCCTTAACTGTATGACAGTTTTTTATGTATCTCCTTTTCTCAACTCACTCATTGCCCATCCTCTTAGAAGCCCTCATCACCTCTCACCTGGACTGTTACAATGGCGTTATAATTGGTCTCCCTACCTCAAGATTCTTCTCCACTCCAGTCCTGCATCCCTAGCCGCTAGAGGGCAGGTATGACCTTATCATCTCCCATGTCTCCCTTTTACCTCTAGTATCCAATATAAACTTCTCTGGTATTTAAAACCCTTCACAGTCTGGTCCTTTTTGACCTTTCCAGTCTTCTTAAACTTTGCTCCCCTCTGTATGGGCTGCAGTTTGTCTACACTGACCTATTTGCTGTTTCTTGCACATAATCCCCCATCTCCCACCTCCATGCCTTTGTACTGCCTATCTGCCATCCCTCAAATGTCCTCCCTTCTCACCAGTTCCTGGCTTCCTTCAGTACTAAGTTCAGCAGGAGTCCTTTCTCAGTCCCATGTACTGCTTGCACCTTCTGAGATTGCCTTCTGTCAAATTTGGGTATATCTCATATATACGTAGTTATTTATATGTAGTCTTCCATTCCACATGCAAGTTCCCTGAGGGTAAGAACTGCATGTTCACTTTTCTTTGTATCCACATCATTGAGCTCAGTTCCTGGTACATAGTGTTGTCTGACTCATCTTGTTGGTGTCAGGGTGCTAGGTTGTAGATGTCCTGTGTATGAGGAGGACACAATTCAAATTCCAGAATAATGGGTGCTCTGGCATGGGGAGCTAGTTTAAAATGATGTCTTCTTTAGACCCCTTCAGTCTTTTACTTACCTACACAGCTTTCCTGGACCACAGACTTGCTTTTTTAATGTACATTTTGTGGGTGAGAGTATGTGAGTGAGACCTTTAAAGCCAGCTCCATTTCTGAGACCTAAGATCAGTGTAAAGGTAACTGCAGTCACATATCCATGCCTTCATGGTTTATATTTTACCCCAAGGCAGAGATGGGACTTGTTATGATATGAAGCAGTAGCCCCAACTTAGAAAGACTTTCTGCTGGCTAACTTAGGAGAGAGTGTTTTGGGGGAGGCTAAGCAGCCCTATCTCTGGCCAAGAATAATTGACCTCAATAACAGTTACTAAGGAAGGCATTTGGATTCAATTATCATGCATCGGGAAGCACTGAGAGCTTCAGGGCTATCCTGCTTAAGAAGTGTAAGCCAAGTAGAATTTGAACTAGAATATGCTCAAATCCTCAAGGAATTAACCATTTATGTTTTAATACAGCCATGTAAAGTAACCAGTGACCCAGGGCCTGAAATTAGGCCAAGTCTGCAAGAAATCGGTCTTCGATCAATAAGAATTCTTGTAGAACATTGAAAATATAAGCCACAATTGTAATCAGCGTTTATTACTGAATTTCTTCAAGCTACCAATGGTGGTTTATTGCATGGCTTCTCCTGATATTAGGACATGTGGGGAAGCTGGTGAATATTCTCTTGACTAGCATACATTTGTCTAAACTTGTAGTTCTAAAAAATGCTATAGCATGGTTGAAATATGTGTAACTTAATTTCCCATGAATTTTGACAAATACTGTTCGTTATTATGGATTGATGTTATTAAATGGAAAAATTTGCCTCAGTTTATCAAAGCTTCGAGCCTGTTCTGCAGTTTAATATTTGTAATCTTTTGGTTTTCAGGTAAATGGAGCCACTAACAGTGACCATTTAACTACTGTACTCTACCTCCAGCTCACTATTTATTCAAATCTGAAGAACATAGAGAAAACAATACTGTGCCTACAAAAACTGATTTCTTTGCATCATTTTAACCCTTGGAATTGGGCCAAGCTTGCAGAGGCTTACCTGAGCCTTGGACTAGCTCCCTCGGCCTCATTTACTTCATCTCAGAAAGAAAACAGTTTTACCTCAAGTGACCAAGAATTCAAAGCCCCCTTACCGTCGATAAAAAAAGATCCTTCTCTACATTTTTCCAAAACCTTGAATGGAGGCTCTGGGTTTTCTATGGGAACAAGTGGTACCTGTGTCCACAAAAGTGAAAACTCTGTCAGTGATGTGTGGCCTGTGGCACCAGAGACCTCCTTCCATCTGGCATTTCAGTCCTGGGCACCCGCAGTATGGGCAGGGATGCAAATGAAAGCTTGTGCCTCATTTATCAGAGCCAGGTAAGCTGAGGATGAATGAAAAGAGGCAGGATAATGGGGTCAAAGAAGAGCTTTTCTGTTCTGCATTGTAAGTGTATAACCTGTCAGTCGACACATTGTGATTTCCAGATTTTTGCTTTAGCTCTAATCAGTACAGGGCTTCAAAAGGACATTCAGTTTCGTTTTGGGAGAAAGGGGGACAGTAAAATGCCCCTCTGTTATACAGCTCACACCACCAGTGTTATTTTGATGCATAAGAATATGGATATGCTGCCTAGATAATACAACTTGTCTTGCTTTCTGAGAAATCTATAAGAATTGAGAAAAGAAAACAATGTCAAATTTATCTCATTATACAGCTGAGAGTGGCTTTGAAAAGGTAGGTAAAGGATTGTTTTTATGAGGAGGCAGTTCTTTTTAGTGTGTGCTCTTCTTTTAAGAAAATTAAATGTCCAACTCTCTTGTTGTTTGTATCCACAGTAATGGGAATAGATCACCCTTACTTAGCTCACCCTACAGAGGGGTCAGAGGATCCACCCCTTGAGAATTTAAGTCCCTGGTCTTTTTAAAACATATAAATTCAGAAGCAAAAAGATAATTAGGTACTTGTGCATTTTATGAGCAAAGAAAATTGTTGTCTAGGTTTATGTTATTATCCAAGAACATGCTTTTTTTTTTAACCTAGAAGGAGTCAGAAATATAAAACAAAAACAAAAAAACACGGTATGAAGAACTTTATAGGGAATATATATCTGCTCAGCAGATTCTACATTACCTTCACAAGGCCAAGCCTAAAACAGTCAGAGGTTTTTAGTTGATAGCGTTGGGCTCTCTCCAGTCCTGGTTTCTATATTAGAAAATAAAGACACTACTTAAATTCATAGGTATTAATCCATGCTGTTTCCAAATAGCAGTGAGCTATGGTAAGGTATTTGCCCTATTAAATAGTATCACTGATAAATGGTAGTGTTTCCAGTTTAGAGGTAGTGCATCTAAAAGGCCAGTCAGCAAAATAAAAGAGAAAAGGCAGCTGTAGGAAACATTCAGATCTAACCTATCCATCTAATCCTGTGATGATGATTCCTAAGTAATACTCAACAGCAGGATTATTCCCTGAGTGAATGTAAATGAGCTCTTTGTGATGCCCCACCTAGAACCTCTAACCAGTCTGTTGGCCCATTGTGGTTTTCAGGCTTTTGCTTCAGCTCACTCAGTCTCAGCAAACATCTTTTGCTTTAGAGAAGAACTTCAAGGTTCAGGAGGAAATTGAAGATAGGCTAAAAGGATTCGGCTTTGAAGAAGAAACTTTACTGTTGATTTCTGAGGTGAGTGTCCACCTGACATGGGGGCACCTGCTCTGCATTGTGTTGTGAAGGAGGGGTCTCCTTGGAAGAGACAGTGCAAGGGTCTTGCAATCATTTCATTTCCAGAGAGTAGCCTTCTCTTGTCAGTTTCCCTCTAGTACTCTCACCCGAACTGTCCTGCAAAGCTTGCCCTCGTGGTAGCTCCAGACAAAAGTCTGGGGAAATAGCATCAGAGGCCATTGACTGAAATACAGTTTGGGGACTCTATGTATTGCACTGACTGTCCTCACTAAAAGAGCCTCAGAGGTCAACCGGATTGACCTTGCCCCAATTCAGGGTTGTGCTTCCTTGCAGGATGGACAGATGGCAATAGGGGTTGGCTCTTTGTGCTCATAAATCAGTGCATTGTGTTTATAGACAGCTTTCCTTGTTGGAAACATTTTCCTTAGAGTGAACGGAAATCTGCCTGTCACTGTCGCCTTTCCTTTCTAGCAGTGCATTATGTCCCGTCCTCCTTGCCATTAACAGCTTACAACTAGAGTTTTTAGTACATTTCTCATATCTAGTGCTTAGCTTCTCTTTTTCCTAATGTTACAAACAATCCACCCTTCTCACTTGCACTGGAATGAGAAGTTGCTTTGAGGGGCTTGGGTCTCCCTCCCACTTCCATACCACATAACAGAATGTTTTGTATGCATGTTTTGTCTTCCTAGGATATCTGATAGATCAGATGAAGGCAGCTTTTGGTCAGTTCCCAAGTATTCTCTTTTCCAGGCTAAAGAGCCATAATTCCTTTGGTCACTCAATGAATCCAAATTTTTTAAGTGCCTGCTATGTGCCAGGTACTGTACTAAATGCTGGGGATGCAAAGAAAGTAAGAGACAGTCCCTCCTCACTAAGGGGTCACAGGCTAATGGGAGAGACAACTGGAAAACTTCTGTGTGCAAACAAGATCTAGACAGAATAAGTTGTAAGTCATCAATGGGAGAAGGCACTGACATTAAGAGGGATCAGAAAACACTCTGTGAAAGGTAGAAGAGATGAAGAGGGAGAAAATTTGGGGCATGGAGAAAAACTGGTGAAAATTGTGGAATCTAAAGATAGTGAATTGTTTGAGGAGCAGCCAGTATCCCTGGGTCCCAAAGGATTCAGGGATGAATAAGTTGTGAGAGACTGGAAAGCCAGGTAGGGAAAGGGTCAAGTTATGAAGGATTTGAACGCCAGAGGATTTTGTTTTTAGTCCTGGTGGTGATAGGGAGCTCCTGGATTTTATTGAACAGAGAGATGACATGATCAGACCTGAGCTTTAGGAAAATTAATGTGACAGCCAAGTGGAGGATGGACTAGAGTGGGAGAGGCTTGAGGCAGGGAAACCATTGAGCAGACTTAGAGTAGTCCTGGCCTGTGATGGTGGTGGCACTGGCAGAGGAGAGAGTGAGGAGCATACAAAAGATGTGGACAGGTCTTGGCGACAGATAGGACATCGGGGTGGTGAGGGAGAATGAAGAGTTGAGGGTGATGCTTAGGTGGTGTGGAAGAATGCCATTATTAGGGAAGTTTGGAAGGGAGGGCAGGATTTGGGGAAAATATGAGTTTAATTGTAGACATGTTAATGGGCAACTAGGTGGTGCAGTGGATAGAGCACTGGCCCTGGATTCAGTAGGACCTGAGTTCAAATCTGGCCTCAGACGCATAACACTTACTAGCTGTGTGACCCTGGGCGAGTCACTTAACCCCATTACCTAGCCAAAAAAAAAAAAGAGAGAGAAATCCTGCCTTCAGATACTAACTAGCTGTGTGACCTTGGGCAAATCACTTAATCTCTTGGAGCCCCAGTTTGTGCCTCTGTAAAATGGGGGTGATAGCTGCAGCAATTACCTCATAGGGCTATTGTGGGGGCAGCTAGGTGGCATAGTGGATAGAGCAGCAGCCCTGAAGTTAGGAGGACCTGAGTTCCAGTGCGGCCTCAGACCAAATGCTTGACTCTAGCTGTGTGACCCTGGGCAAGTCACTTAACCCCAGTTGCCTAAAAGAAAAAAAGGACTATTGTTCAACTCACATGAGGTAATGTATGTAGAGGATCTCCCAAACTTCAAAGCACTATTTACAAGTTGATTATTTTATTAATATTGGCGTTTTTATCATGGCAATAAGTAGACCTAGTCTCTCTTCCTTCCATATAGTCCCTGAGGATTCCTGTCCCCAAAGTTTAGCTTTCTGCCCTTCACTTTACATGTGACTTCTGACAGCTCAAGCTCTAGCACCTTCAGCTGTCATGCCTCTGTCTCTGGCATCATCTCCTGTCTCCAGCTGTCTGCTGGACATTCCCTTTTGGATGTCTCACCGTTACTTTACATGTAAGAATTTTTAAAACTGACCTCTCCAGTATGGGCTCTTGATCTGTCTTGTGTCCTCTGACAGTGCCTTGCACACAGTAGGTGATCAGTAAGTAGTGAGTGAGTGAAAGATGAGGGTGTCTTTCTCCTGGTTTCCTTGTCTCTCCTACCACCCAAGCTTGGCACTGTGGAGTCCTCTCTGATTCCTCTTGTACTCTGATCATCTGTGTCCAGTCAGTCATTGTTGAGCTTTCCTTCTTATGAAGGATTATTATGAATTCTTTTCAATGTCTGTCTTCTCCAGATAGCTACTCTCATGGCTACTCTTCGCTAATCTGCATCCTTATATCTCTTAGGTTATTATTATTGTGTGTGTGTGTGTGTGTTTGTGTATGTGTGTGTGTAGACTGAGAACATCCTCAAGCTGGGAGGGGCCTGTTAGGATCATCTAGTTCAGCTCCTTGCTTCACAGGTGAATCTTTTTCCTTAGTCGTCACAGACTTTGCTTCTTTCTGCTGAGGGTGGGTGAGGAGGAGAGAGGGGAAGACTTAGAGATGGGGGCAGAGGTTGAAGCTGTGAGGTCGTGGGCGTTTTTAGGGATTTGTGGCTGTTGGGGCATGTTTGGGGCAATGGCAGTGGATGGGAAGGTTTATTGGGGCATATGTGTAAGAGGTGAGCTGGAAGATGTGAGAGTCTGTACAAGAGAAAGTGTATCTTGTTTTCCAAACTAGATACTAAGCCTCTTGAAGGCAGAAACCATCCTGTAGTTCTGTAAAGATCCCTTACAGAGTGGTATTTCATCTCCCATTCTTTAGAAGGGGGAAAACTATTATTTAATACTGGATTTAGACATTCGCTAAAACAAAGTCACTGGTGGTCACCAGGTCAGTATGTATTTTACTTGCTTTTGCTTCAAACAGTTTAAGGCCATTTGAAGCACTTCCCTTAATGAGTTGCTTATGCAGCTGTTATTTTAAATTTTTCCTTCATTTTATAACCACTTACTGAATCTATTAGGGGATTTTTTAAGTTTTACTTGATGTTGCTTGGCTTAGTTGATTCATGGGATATGAAATGGTTTAAGATTTCTCTTTGTACCTTGTAGCAAATTTGATCACATATATTGGTCGACAGCTATGATTTTATAGTTGCTTTAAGGGTAGTTTTTTTGTTTTCCCTACCAACTACCTTTGCAAAGGCCCCGCCGAGAAGGTGGTCCAAATCCAACCCAGAGTTTTGAAGACGTGACGCAGCATCTGCGTGGACCTACATCTCTCCAGTAGGGAGCAGTAGAGCGTCCTCATTATGTTCTGCAAAGCCATTGTTCAATTTCCCTTTCCCCTCATTATGTACATTATCCCCCTGTGCCCCTCACTTCTCACTTGTATTGGGTTCAGCAGTTACTTAGAGGGGCTTCTGTCTCCCTAGCACTTGCTTATTTTGACCTCCTAACAGAACACCACCTAGACTAAATTTTAATCCCAAAAGGCAACAAGATTCTTCCTGACAATGCCTCTACCATGGTTTGACTAGGTGTGAGAAGGACCTTGAATGGTATTTCTACCAGCAGAATGTGCTTGATACAAAAAGGTTAGTTCTCTCTGTGAGAACTGAATCCCAATACTGGTCTGGTCCATTTTAATGGCACTTTCCCAAGGTGAGGTGAGATTGAGATGTAAACAAGAACATTGTGGAACTAAAAAGGGACCTGTCTATCAGCACAAAAGCATGAACCTCACTGGTTGGAAATGCCCCCATTTCTGTTCTCATTTGGAAGTATTTAATTCAGTAGTTCACATTCTCTTCTCTCCTATATATGTCTGCTGCCTATTTTATTGGGAATGTGTGTGGTTTTTTTTTCTGCTGCAGGTTATGAGAGAAGATCTCATTCCAGAAAAAATAAAAGATGAAGTTCATGCAGAGGTGAAATGTGTAGGCTCTGAAGCCTTGACTGCCCTGGTAATCGCATCTTCCAAAGAATTTGAAGACAAATGGTTCAGAAAGATCAAAGACCATTTATGTCCCTTTGAAAATCTGTTTCACACAGAGATACGCATCTCGCCTTAGCAGCCCATTAAAACAAAACACACCAAAAAATCTTGTTATGGGTTATCTTTTTTTATTTCATCTGGAGCTGTGGTACAAAATGAAAGAGAGCAAATTAAATTGATTTTTTATCTTTTTTTGTAAAGTAGCTCTCCCCATTTCCCAATCCCTAAGATTATTTCCATTGTATTTCTTGTCCTTTTTTTGTTTGCTTTAGAACTTTTAGTATATTTACTTCTGTTAAGTATTGAATTTTAAGCCCTTCCTTGAAAACCTTGAGAAAATTCATGTTATTCAGCACCAGTGTGTTAACTGACAGTGCCGAGTACTGCCCAAGTCTGGCAGGCTAATGACAAGGCATTCCTTAATTTCTTCTACTGCAAATGTCCCTGCTTGTTTTTGTGAACCATCTTTAATCTTCATTACTGTACTCAAAAAAGACCTTTGGATGGCAGGCTCTTTCAAAACTGTTCTTGTGCCCTCGCCAGCAGTTTGGTGGTCTGCATTGCTTAAGATCCTGGAGTTCAGCAAACCAAGAAACATTGAGTGGGAGAAACTGAAACACGACATTGAAAACCTTTGTAAGGACATTATCATTTTTATGATTCTTTTAGCCACACAAGACCAGAGCACTTTTTATGGCAGAATCGTGTTAGACAAAAAAAGCCTTATAAATCATGAGAAGCAGACAAAATACCTTTCTGCATTGCTTCTATTTCTAGGCAGTTGAAGATTAACAGGGCAGATCAGAGGGAAATCCAAGTTTGTCTTCATCCTTCCCTCCTTGGTTTGGACACTTCTGCTGTGCTTCAGGCTTCCAGTATGCTGTTCCCCATCAAAGCAGGGAAGGTATAGTTGGCATCAAGACTTGTTCATTAACTGATCGCTCCTTCGTGTGAATGAGGTTTTGGTTTTTTTGTTTTACATTTTAAGCCTCATCTCTAATAATTGATTTGTCTTATTAAATTTCAGCCTGGTTAATAAGAGATATTTTCAGGGCAAGGGGAGGTTTTCTAAAATCCCTTTAGACTCTACTTTTAAAGCTGCTCCTGAAAATAAACCTGATTTGATCCTTTTAGGACAGGAGGTCCTGACTTCTGGGTATGAGAACTCTTAAAATATTTTGATAACTATTTCAGTATAATTGTTTTTCTTTGCAGTCATGTATTTTATTTTATGCATTTAGAAACATTTCTGAGAAGGGGTCCATAGGCTTCACCAGACTGTCAAAAGGGTCCATGAAATAAAAAAAGGTTAAGAAGCTCTGTTTTAGAGTGACTAAGGATGATCTCTTTGTTTCTAGAGGAGGAGTGGGTAGGGCTAGGATGAAGGGGAAGAAGAAGGATTGGTCGGGGACAGCTGCTAGAAATATATTCCTGGGAAATTCTGGGGCTTGAAGAACCATAACTAGAGCCCACCCTGCTCTCCCACAGGTAAGGCTTTCTCCTTGTAAGGCCTCTTTCTATTCTCCCAATTGTACCAGCATCTGGAGTCTAAGGATAAGAAGCTTCTATTTTCTAGCATATTTGATGCTATTTTTGTTTTTAATAATATTTTCCATACCCCTACTTGAAAGCCTGGATCACATTCCAATGTCTTTATTGTTTTTACTTCTGATAATGAAGTTTCTGAAAACAGTATCATAGAAACATAGCCTTTGTGATAAAGTATTACTCTACTTTCTTAACCCATAATTGGTGGAATCTTATGGTGTCATAATATTCATATATATCCTTTTGTCTATCCTACTATTTGACATTATCACTGGGTAACTGGCCAAATAAATGTGTGTGAGCCTTATGTACTTTGTGACAGCTGCATCCAGAGGCCAGGGAGAAAGATGATAGAAAAAAGTAGATGTTGCCCAGGGTGGGAAAGAGTAGAAAGAAAGCACATGAGAGTAGAATCATGCCATGGTGGACTAGGGGAAATTGGTAGAACTTGAGGATAAAGAGCTGAATTTTAAATACCATTCCTGTGTGGTGATGAGGAAATCTTATAGAGGGCTTGAGTGTTGGGAGAAGAGAAACAAATTAAGTGGTTCCCACCCAGATGCTACCAAGGCTGTGAGTGCTTCAGAGAAATTCTGCCTTCTGTTTCATCCAAGTCAATAAAAATGGTGAACAGATTAGGAGTGAACATCAACGTTGAGGCCCTCTGCTAAAGGCCACTCTCCAGGCAACCTCAGTCCCTTTATCAGGGCTCTTTTGATGTTTTTGTTCAGTTGCTTCTGAATTCATCTGACAAAATCATTTCTGTCAGATCTCCATCTTCTCGGTATAGTATGAGAAGTCGTCAGATGCCTTGCCAAAATACGCGTGTGTTGTCTATGGCATTTTCCTTGTACCAGTTCTAGTAATTCTGACAAAAATGTCAGATAAGCTTAATCTAGCATGTTTTATACACAGTGAGCCCATTCTAGCTCCTAATGACTACCACTACTTCCCTTGTTAAGTATTCTTAAACCACCTTTTCCCAATCTCTTCCATAATTCTAGAGAGATGGATTCATAATGAAAGTGATAATTAAATTTAGCCTTGGAGGAGCAGTGGGATTTCAACAGGCAACTGTATTCAGACAGAAGGGCTATTCCAAGTGAATGATGTATTCTAGAGTAGTATTCTGGGAATGTCAGATAGTCTTGTTTGACTAGGAAGGAGTGGCATGATAAAAGACTAGAAAGGTAGATGGAGCCTTCCTCATGGAGGGCCTTGAATGATGTCAGACTAAAGAGTTTGGACCAATTTATGCAAACAAACAAAAGTTAAGAATCAAGTGAACAAGCATTTATTAAGTGCCTTCCAAGTGCCAATCACTGTGCTAAGCACTGGGGATTAAAAGTAAGGCAAAAATAGGCCCTACCCTCAAAGAGTTCACAACTAGGGCAGGCAGCCATGTGCAATCAGGATATGTATACACAGGATAAACTGGAGAAAATCTCAAGGGAGAAGGCACTGATATTAAGGAGGACTGGGAAAGACTTCTTGAAGAAGGTGAGATTTTAGATGAAAGTTGAACAAAGCCCAAGATGAGGAAGGAGAGCCTACTAGGCATAGAGGCCAGCCGGTGAAATCAGAGTCAGGGTGGGATAAGGAGCTGAGAGTCATTGGAATAAGGTGTAAGGAGACGAAGGATGGGTAAGGGGTCAGGTTAGGAAGAACTTCAAAAACCAAACAGATGATTTTATGTTTGATCTTGAAGGTAGTAGGGAGTCATTGGAGATTATTTGGATAGAGGGGTGACATAGTCAGACCTATGCTTGAGGAAAATCACTGACAACTAAGTGGACTGGAGTGGGGAGAGACTTGAGGCAGGGAAACCAGCAAGCTGCCTGTTGCTATATTCTAGGCCTGAGATGATGAGGGCCTGTACCAGGGTGGTGACAGTGTCAGAGAGAAGGGAGCATATTCAGGAGCTATTACTAAGGTACAATTGACAAGACTGGGCAACGATTGGATGATGGGAGTGAGAGCAAGGTGCTGGGAATGATACCTAGGTTAGGAGCCTGGGCTACTGGGAGGATGAGTGGTGCCCTCAACAGCCATGAGGTAGTTTGGAAGAGTTTTGAGGGAGAGAGAATGAGTTCCACTTTGGGCATGTTGAGTTTAGGTTGTCTGTGAGACACCCATTTTGAGATGGCCAGTAGACAGCTGGAGATGAGAGCTGAAGGTCAGGACCAGAAAAATAGATCTGAGATTTATCTTCTTAGAGATCTGATTGGACATGGGGCAGGGGATAAAGATCATAGCATTATAGATTTAGAGTTGGAAGGGACCTTAGAGGTCATTTCGTCTAACCCTCGCCCTCATATTCCAAATGAAGCAACTCCAGCCAAGAGCAGTAGGTGACTTGACTGAGGTCACACAGGTAATAAGTAGCTGAGTCGGAATCAAATTAGGTTCTCTAAAATCTAGTAATCTCTCTGCTATGTCAGGTAAGAATCCAGGATGATGATGAAGTTTGAAGCATTGGGAGAAGAGATAGACCTGTTTAGTTGGAGGTATTGTAACAGGGCCTGAATCTAGGCCAGCTTGAATTTGCAACCTTATTTGTAGTCCTGAGAACTTTGGCAGTGGTAGGCATACTTGCCAACAGACAAGAAACCGTCTCCCTTTAGTTTCTACCCATTCCTCAGTTCAACACCATTTATGGTAGTCAGGGACCTTCTCTAAAGGACCCAGCCGTATTTCTGGACCTTCAACCAATCAATAAAATATGATGTTAGTAATAAATATTAAATACCTACTATGAACAAGATGCTTCCCCTTCTGGATTCCACCTGTGATCTAAGGAGTAATGGAATCTTCAGAACCAATTAAAGACCTGCAAGCCCAGGTCTTGTGGGTTGGGAGGAAAATACTATTATGTATGAACAACCAGACTTTTTTTTTTCCCTCTTCTGTAGACAGTAGTGCTCCAATGGAATGACTCATCAGTATATGGCAGAGTGAGCTTGAGAGGGTACCAGGGGATTTCAGGCTGCATACTACATTTATCTATATTGCCTTCAGAGCCCTGCACTCAGTATGCTAGGCCACCATCTTATTTCCTCAGCCAGTAGCTTGAAACCATTTATAAGGCAATAGGCTCAGACTCTTATTTGAATACCAAAGGCTAAGTATATCAATACTTTCTTCCAGCGTTCATTCAGAGCACCTGAATAAACCTGAGGTGAACTTTTACTCAGGGAAGTTCTGTTCTGAGAAAGAGAACTGTAAGACCAAAAGGAATGTTAACTCATGTAGCCTTTCTCCTATCCCCGAGAAGAGCTGTGTTAAGCTGTCTCAAGCAGAAGAGAACTGGTCATCTTTTTAAAGACTTCCGAAAAGGGTTATTTCCAAACCTCGATAACCTGTATTAGTATTCAGTAGTCCTCATTATTTGAAAATCCTTATATCTAAATTAAAACTCATATGATAGAGTTTAAATATTTTTCTGTTCTGTAGTTGAAGAAGAACTAGTCCTGTTCTTCTCGTGGAAGGACTATTGTTATGGAATCTTTTTTTCATAGCCTTCACTTTTTCAGGCAAATAGTCCCTATTTTTTCTTCAGACAAGGTCTAAATCATGTGTCAGAGGCTCGCTTCCTGACCCGAAGGGCCTATGTAAACTTTGGGGAACCTCTCAGTGCTCCCTACCTAGATGATCCGGGGACTTCACTATCCAGCTCCCCTCTGAAGTAGAGTTGCTGACTTCCTTTCCAAGTACATGGATTCATAAGGCTCCAAATAGTAACAACTTTAGAGGTTAATAGAAACCATCGTCCTCTTGTGAGAGCCCATAGAAAATACCAATACTCACCAATGAGCAGCCCTCCCCCCAGAAGCCTGCAGTCTCACAGTTCTGTTCTGGCTCAGGTTGTTTAGTCACTGTGCCCCTGGCTGCTTTTGGAGACATTGCTGTTGGCTGATCCTCATTGAAGTTCAACTTAGTACAGCTCTGCTCAGTATCCAAAAGGTCCTTCATGCTCCCTTCCTTTTCCTTCTCCTGCCTGTTCACATTCTGAAGCTCTCTCGAGGCGATGGCACTTGCTTCCTTTCCCAGGGAACACATTCTCCAACGTTGCCCATTGGAAAGCACTCCTGAGTCTCAGTCTTGGCAGTGGGTTTACAGCTTAGCTGTAGCCCCAGACGAGGGGCTCTCTTTTTCTGAAGCATTCATGTTGATGTGGTTTTCTAGCCCCCTGAGTTCACACACAGGAGTTAAACTACCTTCTTCAAAGCAGATGGCTCTCCTTAATTCCATGTTGGCCCCTAGTATCTATGGTGGCATGTGCCCTTTCTCCCTCAGTGGTGGGGTGTTGTGGCTCTTGAATATTCATCAGTCTACATTGTTCTAGAGGCTCTGGGGAGAGAAAACCCCAAGTTGTCTCTCAGCCCACTGAAATTTTCTCCGGGCAATATTTGTTCCATTTACTCAGGACTGCTTCCTAAAACATTCCGTAGTGGGAGGGCAGCCACCCAGCAATAGGTCTTCTTTTCCAGCCCTTTTAGAATCATAGGCTTAGAAGGGAGCCACTTCGATGCCACCTGAAGCATAACTACCCTCTCTAATATCTCTGACAAGCAGTTATCCAAGCTCACTCGCTGAAGACCTCTAGTTGTACCAGTCTTTCTGCTGCCTGCCTAAGATGC